ATGATCGATAGGACAGACAGCTAACAGAGAGAGACAGTCCCTGCTTTGAAATGTAGAAATTTATTTCTCTTGCAAAGAAGCATGCAGATTACTGCGGTCCACAGGTACTGAGCTGAAAGCCTGGCTTTTCCTTCCCCCACCCCTCGGTGTGCTTCCTCTAAGTGTCAGGAAAGGGTCTCATACATTAGAGACAGGGTCTTCCTTGTAGCTTTGACTGATAGCAAGGCCGGAAGCTTCCCTGAATGAAAAAAATTCCTGTACGAATAGCAGTGCCCACCTTTCACCTCTTTCCCCATGTCTTGCTTGCTGCCTGTCAATTCTTTTCAGCAGCTTTTGAGAGAAATGGAGCAGGAAGCACAGCCTCGTCCTCAGTGCTTGGGTAATCACCTGACTGGCTGCTTTGAAAGAATCCCAGCTGCGTGGTTTCATAGTTCGCATGTTTGAAAGCTTCTGCTGATTTTTCTGCATGCAGGGAATGGTTTTGCCTTATTGCCTCTCCAGTTTGCATGATTTCAAACACTCTGCTCAAAGACAATTTTCAAGCACTCAGCTCTTTTGAGAAACAAGGGCGCCTGCTCTGCACTGAAAAGACCCACAGCCAGCGGAGGCTGTGCGCAGTGTCTTTGGTCTCTACTGGTTCTGGCCACACCCTCCCTGCAGGTCGGAGGCCCTGAGGGTCACCATGGGCAGCAGGACTGGTGCCAGGGGCTGCACCTCTCTGCCATCGAGGTCCCCTGACAGAATCTGGTAGCCAGCGTGGGAGCTCACCATGGGAGGACAGGCAGGTCTGAGGTCCTGGGAACTATTTAGTTTTTCCTTGGGAGCCACAATTCTACATGCTGTTTAATCCTCTAATCCCTTGTGGATCTGATCAGAGTATAGAGCTGGTCTTGCTTTATTAAAAACACTCTTAGGTTCTCTATATTCTCCCTTGAAAGCAGTCCAATGACACGCTTAACATTACGCGGTCTGCAAGGCCATGTCTGTGGTGCTTTCTTACATTCTCTTCTTGTTCTAAATTCACCACTGCACTGTTTCTGACCGGATTCAGCATTTGAACAGACTTCTCAATAGATTCACCTCTCCGGAATAAAATCGCATATTTATGGTTTTGTGGAACTCAAGTTCTCTGAAGCAGCTCATGCTTGTTGAAATCCTGCAGACTGCTTGATCCTGACTGGGCGTTGTATGGAGACAGAAACTGAGGGTCAGGAGCCAACACTGCTTTTGGGCACGCATAGGCCATTCCACAGGCATTTACCTTCACCGTGTGTCTCACCTAGCATGCTGCTAGCTGGGGACTTCCAGTCTCTGCCAATCCTGAAGCTAAGGAGGTTATAATGTTGGAAACTTACAGGAAACATTTCCCACCTACTTACTGTCCCCCGAATGTTTGGATGTATAGATTTCTTGTGCTGTAACTTCAGAAGCTCATGCAGTCACCACCAGAAGGGTATGAATGCAGGTTCTCCAGCCATAGCCACTGGCATTTACTGTGGAATGAACTGCATTCTTCTCTCCTCTACTGCAGAGCCCTCAGTGTATCTTACCAATGTGATAAGAGTCATAGAAGAAACCCTGTATGGCTTGAGTTAAAAATCAAGTTGAAGGAAGCAATATGTGACAGAAAAGACAAACTTAAACCCACTTCATAGTCACAGTTATTCACTGTGAAAATGAGTGTCATTTGGGAAATGTGGGTAGAATATGATTATGCAATTACCAAACATTACGTGTGGCTACTGAGCACTTACACACATATTTTTAAGGTAATGTTAGAGCCTAAGGAAGGGATGTGAAATTGAGAACGACATACTTAATCTACATTGATTCCCCTGCGTCCTTACACTGAGGTCATTTCTGCAATGAGATTGTGGAGAGCCACCGAGTTCCCTAAGCCGGAACTTTTCCATTTTCTCTGACTGCAGAATTGACATCTATGAACAAGGACTCCCACTGGGATCCCACTGTGAAGAACTAGAGCTTGTGTGGGACTCGCCTTGGGGATCCGTGTGCATTTCACACATAACACACCAAGGAAGCCATCATCTGGGCCCAGCACCATAACCCGACCTGCTCCACTGAGGGCTTTCCAGTCCTGTGCACCATGACTGCATCCAGGTTCATGACCAGGACACTGAAGGTAACCTCCATTCACAACCTTTTTCTCACTCTTCAAATCCCAAAATGTTATAATATACTGTGGCTTCTTCCACCCAAATATATACAGAATCCACGTGTGTCTTCCTGGTTCTCCTGTGGCATCACCCTGGCCATTTCTGCAGGCGTGGTCATCCCTGAGCCTCACCTGACTCAGCAGGACAAGGCCTGCTGAGGTTCACTCATTCTCCCATCCACATGTGGACGTGAACAGGCAAGTGGAGGAGCTTGTGGGGATGGTATTCATGCGTGGGTTTGGCTGTCTCCACTGTTGGGGGGGGGGAACAGAAATAACAGAGAGACCAGGCTGAGAGCCCTGACTCCAGAGCACCCGTGACGGGCAGAAACTGAACACACTTCGCCCCAGTGGCTGGTTTACTTGCAGTTTTTTTTTTTTTTTTTCTTATCACCAAAATCCATTTTTCAAAAATATTCAGTGTAATAAAAAGTAAAAGTAGTTGTAGTTCTCATGTTTTAGCAGTAATTTACTGCTATCAGACAGCTAAAGTTAGACAAATTTCATGTGTTTAATTGAAACCACAGAGAAAACTTGAAGAGGCAAAAGAAATATATGTGAATACATGAATAGAAGGAGATATATAAGGATGTATAAATGGTTATGTAATGTTAACTTTTGCTGGAAGGCCTGGGCATTTAAAAGCTTCTAGTGTCTGTACTGTGGTCTGCCCTGGACCAGGTCTGAGGAGGGAATGCTTTCTGCTGTGCTCAGGGGGCTGTGTGCCCACCTGGCTTCCTTCTCTCACTTCTCTGACTGTATAAGCTTTATCTTGAAACTCCTAATGGACCAAATCAGTTTGAGAAGAACATCTGGATCAAGAATCAGGTTACACAAAATCATTGGTAGCTTCTAGCCACTGCTCCCTGTCATGGAGAGAGTTACCTGTGTTAGATTTCCAATGCAGCATCCACATTATCATGAGAGATACAAGGAATCAGACTTGGAAGAATGGTCAGGTACCATGAGGTACCCTAAGAGTTGCCCTGCTAAAAATTTATGAGGACCTAAAATATCTCGTCTACATTTCCATTACACTGAGTCAATCTAAGTGTGGAAACAAAGCATGATAATGTGGTCTATCCATCTATTCATCATTCTGTCCACATATCTATCCATTTCTGTGTCTGTTTTTCTAGCTCTTTAAAACTCTGTGATCCATCTATTTTTTTTTTTTTTTTTGCTTACCAAGAGTTGTTTCTTGTAAGCTGACTTGAAATTTTTATAATTAGTAGGCTTGGTTTCATTTGATTACTTGGTTGGCTCAGAGAACTGTGTTAACATTTCTTAACAGTGAGAACACATATGTGGGCCTGGGGATATAGCTCAGTTGCACAAGGGCCTGCCTGGCAAGCACAAGTTCCTGCATTTGGTTACTGGTACCAAAACATAACACATGCCACAGTCTATTGGATTAGAAGTCAATAAGTAGATAGGTAGACAGACAGATAGATAGATAGAAAGACAGACAGACATACAAACAGACAGACAGATAGATAGATAGATAGATAGATAGATAGATAGATAGACAGATAGAAAGACAGATATCCTAGAGCAAGTTCTGAGTTTGAAAGCCATTTCAGCATCACTATGTTAACTCTTTTTCTTTAAATGCTCTTTGAACAGCATCTTTTCCCTGATTACCTTGCTAATGAGTTCCAGAAGTTTCATCACATGCTAGCAATGTGTTAGTCTGAGCTGTTTCTCATTTCCTTCCTTGGGCCATTCCCCAAGCTCACTCGGCTGATGGTGACCTTGCCATTCTCCTGGGCCCCTGAATCTACCCCTTCTGTTTCCGAGAAAAAACAGAGGGAAGGCAGTGTGTGTGTGTGTGTGTGTGTGTGTGTGTGTGTGTGTGTGTGTGGCTGTGCTGGGAAACTATATGAAAACAGTTTAACACACACAAGAATTGTTTTCACACTGGAACTCAACTCAGCAATGCACCTCATCTTCTGGTATGGTTCGAGTCCTAACCAGCCTCTCAAAAGGATGGTGCTGAGACCTTTGCCCCTCAAGCAACAGTATTCAGCAGTGGTGCTTTGAAAGATGGTTGGGTGTGAGGCTTTATTCTCTGTGGTTTCCTGAGCTGTATGAATGGAAGGTGATGGAAACCTGGAGTGAGATCTAGCTGAAGAGACCGGGATGCAACCTGGGCTCTTGGGGACTACAATTGTGTTCCCCTCCTCTCCTCTCCTCTCCTCTCCTCTCTTCTCCTCTCCTCTCCTCTCCTCTCCTCTTCTCTCCTCTCCTCTCCTGTCTCTCTTTTTCTGTCCCTCTCTTTCTGTCTCTATCTGTTTCTCTCCTCTCTCTATCCTGTCTCTTCTCTGTCTCTCTGCCTGTCTGTCTCTCTCTCTCTCCACTTCCATTATGCCTGCCTCATCCTGGCTCAAACACAGTATCCTGGGAAACTGAGCTCAATAAATCTTTCCTCCTTTAATGTTTTTCTCGGGCATTTGTCACAACAGCAGAAAGCTAACAAATACTTTTCCCTCACTGTGTTTCATTCTCTCCCACTCTCAGATATTTTCATCAGCAATCACACATACTGATATTCATTCATTCCTGTGAATATAATTTCATCAAGAAATCCTCCCAGATTTCCTTGTTTCAGTCATAGGCTGGACCATCTTCTTATCACCATTCAAGAGCCAGTGAAGAATTGGGTGGGAAATGTTACAGATCCAGTTTATGTAGAAGTTTGTGGGATTCACACATCTGAAAGCAAGGTCTCAGGAAGGTGGAAAGGACTGCCTCTCTGCTCCATGCATGAGAAGGCTGCACGGGCTGTATATTCTTTCCAGTCTGTAAGTATTTCAATAGTGGATAGAATTGGTTAAAATTATATTGGGAGAAGTTGTTATTAAAGACTTTGCATTCAATTACAGGAAAAAAAAGGAAAAGAAAAGAAAAACATAATATACTGTAGTAAACTAAGAGCAGTAAATGTGCAGGACTACCAAGTGAATCCTAAATAACAATTTGTGACAAGAATTACAGTGAAAGTTCCTAGCAAACGCATGAAGTCCTTTCCCTTAGCTGGCCTGGAGGGCACAGGAAAGACCCCATAAAGGGAACCACTGAGATAAGACCTAAAGAAGGAGCAGGATTTCACAGTTGATCATCTCAATCCCAGGGGGGCTCCTTTCAGACAGAGCAGGGCACCCTGGAACCCCTGCAGCACCCCAGGGTGCTACTGCTGCAGCCACAGGTCCAGGCTCTGGTTTTAAAAGGAGTACTCTCGGAGGAAAAGGCAGGTGCACAGAAAGGAGCTTGCTTCCTGAGTGTTTCTGTTTTTCTCCTGTTCTTCTTGGTCTTCCTCTGATTCCAGGCAGGTGATCTGGGTTTCTTGCTTCCTTTTTTCTTAGTCCTCTGAAGTAAACAGAGAATGAACACTTGAAAAAGGAAGACCCTTAGGAGCACACAGACACAGTGATGAAGGCAAAAACACATTCAAGGAAGACATTTTTAAATTTCTTAAAATAGAGAAATAGAGAAAATTAAAATTAAGAAGTCTAAAGATACAAAATTGATAGCTTCTTTTATTCTTCCCCACGCAGAGAAGATTCCCAGCTTTTAGAAAACTGCCCCCGATACATTATCAAGAGTGGTTCTTACCAATCTCTTCACGGTGTGGAGGACGGAGCGATTTCGCCCAGCCTGGAGGACTCAGCTGTCACACAGGCTCCTGAGGACACGGGGTGGGGCAGCCGCTCTGGTGTCTCCGCTGCCCAGTGTGGTTTCAGCGATGCCATGGCTGGCGGTGCCCTCCACCCCTGGAGCTGAACCGCTGCATCTCCGCAGCCCGACACGCTGAGGAGCTCCTGGATGTTGGCCAGCAGGCGCCCAGGCTTGCGCTGGACTGCACCACTGTCACAGCAGGACTTCTGTAGAGCTGAGATGTGAGACAGATGTTCACATTCCGTGTACCACATCTTCAAGACTGAAAACAGCTGGGAGACAAAGCAGGGAAGGAGGCAGGAAGGCTTTTGTGGTGAACTACAGAGGAAACGCCTGGAAGAGTATGTTGCAACATAACTGGTCCTACGTTCTTCTTTGCAAGTAGTTTGGTAAGAATCAACTATTTTAAGGAATAACTGTAAGCAAGTAACGTCCTTCTCTTCAAACCACAAATGCAATACAGCAGTGCCAGGGTCTGACTATTTTGAGCCTTTCAACCTTTTGGTTGAAATCTGACACGCAATGCAGCAGTATTAAAGGGGCTTTCAGGACTGATTCAGCCTCTTGTCTGAGTCCCTTGTACAAGCCTGCAGGTGTGAGTCTGGACCTTGTGCTCTTTTGTAAGCAAGAAGACAGAATTCAGCAGTGTCCTCTCTCCCTGCCACCTGAGCAACAGTGGCTGGGGCCCCGCTGCAAAGCAAGGATGGAAGGATGGAGGACGGAAGGACAGCGGGTCAGAGGGATGGAGGGACAGAGTCCTCACCAGACAGTGCCTGCTAGCCTGGACCTTGCGTCTACCACCTCTGACTCCTGAGCTGTGCATTTCTGTCATTCATAAATGATGTGGTGTAAGGCATTTTGTCACAACAGAGTAGGACAAACATCTTCAGTTAAATAAGAGAGTAATCACAAGTGCATGCTGGAAATAAATCATTAAGTAGTGTTAATTTTGGTCTGAAATACAGGACACTAGAGTGGTGAAGGATTTCTCCACACACCCAACACCATGAAGGTTTTATCCAATTTCCTCACCTGACATGAAATTAGTATTCAGCTGGGAAATAAAGCAGGTGGAACAAAAGAATCTGGAGATAGCAGTGTGGACCAGATATGCACCAAAGATTATCAGAAGGTTGGGTGAAGGATGGGTTTTACTACTTAAGATTCCCTACCTACCATCTCCGTTGATATTTGGACATGGCTTATTTTTTTTCTTACAGAAATGTCCTTTGGATATACAAATGAAACCAGAAAGAACAAAATTACCCAGAGTCAGTTAGATAAATACAAGTAACATTCTATTTACAGACAATGGTAGACTGCAAAATTGGCCTTTTGTGATTCAAATCTTGAAGAAAAAAAAAGCTATTTGAAGGCACAGAAATACAGGTGAATGTGTGACAGTGTCTTATAAGAGTAGCAAAGTTTTAAAGGAAATCTAACGAAAACCTTCAGAAATACTGAGGTTCCTTTTAACTCGAGTTCACTGTTTCTTGAATAGAAGTGAACTGATAGAATCAATTATTGCAAAAATAATAAAACATATCTGGAGTTGATGGTCCTAATAAATAAAACAGTGTCTGGGAAACTTTAATGAATTCATGACCAGTGAAGAAGGACTATATGATAAGAACGTGTCTGACTAAATCTAATGAACAGATGCACTTATATAATTGGCTAAAGGAGAGAAATTAAAACATGAAGTTGAATGATCACTGGCACATAAGTCATAAAATAAAGATAAATGTAGTTTTCCCTGTATGAAGAAATCACCTGTCACCTGTGGACATCTCTCATACCCTTGGTATCAGTTGTCACATAATTCAACATAATCCCTTGGTGCTGGTTCCTAAAGAGATTACACTGTAATTACATATGGGCTGAAATTCATGCAGAGGGTAAAAGCATAAGAATAGGGGAGTACAATTAAAATTAAAGTCGTAAGAAGGCAGAAAAGGAGAAAGAATCAAATGATTGATGTCCCTGAAGCAGACGCCACAGGTGTGACCCAACTGTCTATATACCAGCCTGTAAAAAATGTAAACTGGTTATTAAATTAACGAATCCCTCTGTACAGAATTGATGTGCACCCTGTACACTGAACACTAATTACAAATTGCAAAACAAGTTCTGGACCCAATATACATTTATGTTCTGCTGAAGCTATGCAATATTAAAGCTTAAAAAATCCATATATTGGCAAGATTGAGACCCTGAGTTCGATTCCTGCCACACACACACACACACACACACACACACACACACTCACACACACACACACACACACACCAAAAAATACCACTCAGAGCATTGCAGAAAATTTTATGAGCTGGTGATGCAGCTCATTGGTGCAGTGCCCGCTTGGCAAGCTCAAGGCCCCGAGTTCCAATCCTGACACCAAAAAAGGAAAGAGAAAAAAAAATCATACATATTTAAATGCATGATTTTTTTTTCCCAAAGTACGATGAAGGAACAGAGTTAGTCCATCCTCAGACTTCTTCCAGACAGAGGTCAGAGTGTCTGTGTTCTCACCCACACCAGAGTGTGTGTTCACAAATGCACACAAGAGTAGGGGTTGTGGAGTGAAGAACACTGACTGTGCTTGTGTTATCTTGAGCAAGATGAGATCCACCTAGCGGATCACTGAGTTATGATATCTGTGGATGATTGACAAGAGGACCAGCAAATGGCGGGGGAAGAGCCAGCCTGCCGGTGAGAGGCTCTAACCAATAGTCGTGTACCCTGGTCAGAATAAAAAGGGAAAGAAAAAGTGCTTCCCTTTCTCTGGCATCTCTGGTGACTGCCACTGTCCTGGAGTCTCCAGTTCTGTCAGCTTCTAGTGCAGACTCTGCAGCTTCGCAGCGATGCCCACGGGTGTCTCTGCAGTGAGCTTCTCAGTCTGCGACCCTGAATGCTCCGGATCTGGTGGTCTGCAGCACCAGAGCATCACTGTCAGCTCTGCCATCCCGATGCTGCAGAGGGCGAAGGGACCTTCTGCTTCTCACCCTGTTGCGGCTGCCTGATGAATCCCACGTACAATCAGATGCATGCTTTTTCTGAATCTGTTTCTCTAGAGAACCTGACCAGCATGGAGACTTAGTCTCTCATGCCCCTATACTGATTAACCGCATGATGAAGACATCCTGAAAACAAAAGATGGGCAGAAGAAGAGGTGAAAGAAAGTAGAGCGTTGTCAACTTCTTCAACAACAGTCTTTTTTTTTTTGACATTATAAGCAAAGAATATAAAACTTACTATCACACCATCTTCCTGGAAGTCCCAAGAAAATGAAACTTAATAGTACAACCAGGCTGACAATTTCAGAGGTTTTCTGAATTAAAAGGCAAGAGTGAGAAACTGAGATAAAAGAATGTAAAGAAAGATAGTAACACAAGACATGAAGGCAAAACCATATTACAAAAGGGGAAAGCAAAGAAGCAAATATTTGAAAAAAGGCTTTTAAATAAAAGTAAAAATTCAGATCAACCATAACTGCTCTGTTAATAAAGGTTGAAAAGCCTGTAAGAGGTGTCAGAGGGAGGAGAATGGGAAAAGAGGAGGAATATAGATATATCTGCACAGGGAGAAATTCTCCATGATGAGTGTGATTATTATGTATATCTAAAGTGTACAATAAACTTAATAAGCCAAACAATATGTGTTTTAACAATCAAGTGTGATGTTTAAAACAGTGGACCCTTGACTTATGAACTCAATTTGTTCAATTTGGTTGTAACTCAAGTTGGTTGTAAGTCAAGACTCTTTTTTCCAAAATCAATAATGGAAACACTTAGAATGTGTTTTGAACCTCCCAAAGCACCCTTCACTCACCTTTTCATGAGAAAAAGGGTTGTATAATGTGCATAATTTATGATAAACACCAATAATTACCCCAGTGTATTCACCAAAAGTCATAAGCATGCCTGGTTTCCTCCCGTCCTCACCCCTCACGGTGACATCTTTGGCCTGTAGGGAGGGAGGGTGGAAAGAAGGGGATTACGTCTGGAAGCAGCAACCAGGCTCTCTGAGCTCTTCCTCTCCTGGGGAGTCTGCAGCCCAGCAGGATCCCCTTCGGGCTCGTGGGGGCTCAACTTTTTCAGAACAAAAAAGCCGCTCTAAGGTGTCTCTGTCTCTCTGTATGTGTGTGTGTCTCTCTCTCTGTATCTCTGACTCTCTCTGTCTCTCTCTGTCTCTCTCTCTCTCTCTCTCTCTGTATCTGTCTCTCTCTCTGTCTCTCTCTCTCTCTCTCTGGTCCCACAGTTGAGACGCAGACTTCTCCCACCACCTACCATCCCAGGGGCAGCACAGTCTGCCTTTCACTGCTCAGATTCATGCCCTGGCCTCCTCAGGCTGCGGGGCCTTTGGACTTGTGATTACCAGCATCACAGTTTACAACAGCTCATACCTGTCTGCTGTTTAGGATTCTGAAGAGGATTCTTTTCTCTCTTTCTCTTCTCTTTTCCTTTCTTTCTTTCTTTCTTTCTTTCTTTCTTTCTTTCTTTCTTTCTTTATTTCTGCTTCCTTCCTTCTTTCCTTCCTTCCTCCTCCTCCTCATCTTCCTCCTCCCCCTCCTCCTCCTCCTCCCCCTCCATCTGTCTCTCTCTCTCTCTCTCTCTGTCTGTCTCTCCCCCCTCCCCTTAGGTCCCTCTCCAGGGTCAGAGGATGCAGAGCCCACAGCAGCCTCTGCACAAAGGAGAGTGAGGGCCCAGCAGCTGCTCAGCCCGGGAAGCTGGAAGAAGAGGAACTAGGGACGGAGGGTGCAGCACAGCAGGAAGCTGAAGGGCCCCCGGAAACCCCCCGACAGTCGCGGGTGCGAGTCCGCAGTGAAGCTGGAGGCTGAGGCTCACAGGTAAGGGCAGCAGCGGAAGCCGGAGCAGCAGAAGGGAGCTTCTCAAAGGCGGGGCGATCTCCGCATGCGCCCCCAGCCAGTGTGTGTCCAGGCCCTGCCGGGCGGTTCGCTGGCCTGCACCTCACTGATCTGCCAGCGCCTGATTCACAGCTGCGCAATTGCTACCCACTGTGCGTCTCCAGAGCCCATGTCCAGAACACCGGGCACACCAGACACACCCAGCAGGGCACGACTGCTGGCCCTGCACCTTCCCACCACACTGGAGGCACCCACCCAAGGAGCCGCTCCCTGCCTATCTCCGTGTCTACCCGGGCTGCTCTGTCCCGCGTGACTGGAATCAACAGTGCGCCAAGCCACCCTGCGGCTGCGTCACTCTGCGCCCTGGCTCGTCCTGGGGTGGCACACATCTGGGAGGGATGCTCAGGCAAGCCCCCCCCCCCCCAGCTGCCCGTGGGTGCCTGCTGGCCTCCGCCTTCGGCTCCTGAGTCAGCTGGAGACGAGGCTACCACAGACCAGCGACACATCCAGCTTCAGCCCTGAGCTGGATGCCTAGAGAGAGGGACCTGGCCTGGTGACTTCTTCCAGCCTTCTTAGCAAACTTCCAGCAAATGGAAACTTCCACTTTCTTGCCACAGAGCAGGGGGATTGCATTTTCTACACAGCCTGGTACACTGGATTTCCTGCTGTCTGTAAGGTGTACATGCAAATAGATGTGTATAACATAAGGGTCACCTATGTGCACATATTACTAATATACCTTAATTATTCCAATAGATAGGAGGCATCCCCGTTACTCCAGAGGGTCCGCTACCAATACATATGGCGCCTCAGTGGCTACCGCTGTGCCAGGGGTTTGCCCGCTGCCTTTCCCCACTGTCATCCCATTGTCATCTTCTCCCGCGCTGCTTAGCCCTTTGTCATCTTCTCTGGGGACTGTGTGTTCACTGGTCTTCTCGTCTTTAATTTGGTTGTTGCACTCAGTGGGTCTTTTGATGTACAACTGTTTTTTTCTTGGCATTTTAACTGTATGAAGTTCTGTCATTTCATTTCTTCCTTGGTTTTTGCCTTTTTTATGTCAAAAGGAACATCGCCAATTGAAGCGTTTCTTCCCCAAAAGTTCCATCATTTCAGCTCTCCCAGTTAGGCCTTCGGTCTGTCTCGTGTGATTTCCTGTATAAAGTCATAGTCT